CCTCTGACCACTTTCGAAGCAACATGATTTACACAGTAAATATCGACAGAAAATCCGGAGACTCCTACAAATTTAGCACATTCAAGACTAACAAATGATGAGATGAATCCATGAAACTTGAAATATTTGCGAAAAAAAAAACTTAGGAGCTCTACAGAATAGTATGGGTTGAACAATCTGACGGCTTTTGATAAACCTAAGAAACTCTACGTGATTACAGATGCGAAAGACTAAGATCCATTATGAAAGCTTACGAATTCACTACATTGATGCACGTCAACGAATCCATAGGATCAAATGAGTTCAAATAATGGAAGGACATTTTAATGTAATGGAAAAAAAAACGTACAAGCAAAGAACACTTGCAACTTCAGGAAATGAAGAACACTAGGGTTTCAGAACTCAAAGACACTCAAGGGATAAAAGAATACGCAGGAAAGAAGGAAAGCACCCATGCGTTGGGACGTATGTAGACACAATGCTTGAAACTAAATGGACACCGTCACACCCGCTCAGACTGAGCTGATGATTATCTTAGTCCATACGGATGTTTCTCAAAATATATGACTTTTTTTTATACAAAATCATTATTTTCCAATGAATGCTGCACTTTAAAAGTATCGCTAAGCATTTCAAAGCCTAATTCTCTTGAGCTCGTGTAAAACAATGTTTCCGGTGCTTTGCTTTAAAATGTGCATCAGAAAATGTTTACTGGCATACATGTTTAGTGCTAAAATAAAGCGCATAAAATATAGAAAGTAGTGTATCTGTCATAGTGTTACTAACATCGTTCTAGCATGAATTGAAATTTTCTGCTAATGGCACAGTACTTTTTCATGTAAGTCATCACTGACGAGAGAAAATTGAGATAATCCATCAGAGAGTATAATTTCTCATTCATAGGGTTCAAAGCCAATGTTTCAAAAGAAGCACTACTTTGTTCACTGAAATTTACCTGAAGTTGATGCAGCCTGATGTTTTGGTGATGGTGGTGGTGGTGGTTGATACTGTTGTTGATATTGCGGTGGTGGATAAAGTTGTTGATTCTGTGTCATTACATTTTTTGGTACAGCAGCCGGACCAGCTGCAGCTTGGCTTGGCTCATGAAAATCTAAATAAAGAAAAAATGGTTTAAGGAATCAGCAGTATGCATTCATGTCAACAATCATATCTGTTTTCTTTTATTCTTTCCAGCAATAATTCTGATCAGATAATATATGAAACAGGGAAACACAATATCTTAAATTCATCTTCTAATAGTATTTTTGTAATGCTTCTCGGAAACAAAAGTGGGTTGTAATAAAACATTGGTTTCTATTTGTAGATATGTTTCTTCCATCCTCTAGGACAGCGGCGGAATACGACTTATACTCTCGTGATACCTGGATTTTTCCGATCAGCATTTCCGTTTTGCTATAAAGAGAACGTGTTCTTTTTCTTATATCATCGAACAACAAAACGAGGATTTTCAATAGTTATTTTTCAGTAAAATTCGTGCACCATCTTTTTATTCATTTGAGAAAATATGATCGATAATTATTGATTTGAAATTTAAATCATTGTTTGTCACATTACAAAAGATTTGTCTTCAATAAAATATTGTTTTATTGAAGTTCTCTGCATATATTGTCTTCTTTTGGCTTTCTCCAAGGAAACAAACATATCATGAAATCTACGCTCACCTGATAAATAATATGTATTTGCTGTACCGAAAGAAATGCCATACACGGGCCATTGAATCAGTAGTCTCTGGTATAATCAGTCTTGCTATAGTTTCAGAATGCTTAGTAAAAACTCCGAAATGATAGAAAAACCCAAGCTTATATCATTAGGATGTGGGTGTGGGTGTGGGTGATAGTCTTCTTTCTTGGAATCATGTACATTTGAGGTTTTCTTGGGCACATGTATCTAAGTCAACTAAAATTTTCTTTATCGTCTATTTTTACAGATAACTAAGCTATTTTCACTCCATTTCATTTTTATAATCAATTGAGCTTTAAAATGTGGGTAGTCATCAATAAAGACAAGATTTTGATATGTAATATGACAAAATTGTGCAGTATATTTTTGCCTAATTAACGAAGCTTAGGCCTTGCTTTTCTTTCATTTGAAAAATTCATTTATGGGGAACGGAATATAATAAGTAAGAATATTAACTGAATCAGTGCAATGAATTCAATAGGGCTCTACTCAAAAATAAAAATACTTTAAGCTTTCTATTGCTATCTAAAAGGCATCAAAGACTTCACATCGTCAAACTTTGTTAAAAATGATAGGATATATGTAAGAATATGACATAGTAGCCTTATTAAGTTTGAAATAATTCGGTATATTCTCTGTCAAGAGAGTATACGGGCCCCATTCAGCTGCTTTAAATAGATTGGAAAAAGTCATGCTTTACATCTAGTCTTCGCTTTGATTAAAAAGTGTCATTCATCTATTTTACTTCTTCGCTTGATCATTAGTCAAGGGGTGAATAGCGGAATCCTGGAATCCTGGAATTCGATGGAATTCAGGGAAATTTTAGGGAGTCCAAGGGAATCTGAGGGAAACCGAGGGAATCCAAGAGAACCCGATGGAATTCAAGGGAATCAGAGGGAATCCTATATAATCTTGAAGTCTTCACTCTTTAAATTTATTACTTTGCAGAATACTCTTTTATCATACGTACCAAGTTAATAGGACATATCTAATAACATTTTTCATAGATACTTCATTCAGAAACTTAGTTTTCTACCACGGTTATGCAACTTTATCTGCTTTAGTCTTTATCTTAGGTTATGATTAGTCAATACAAAATGCAAAATGATGTAGCTCATAAGTAACAATACGACGGAAGGGGTGTGGGTATGGGTGTGGGTGGGCGTGGGTGTGGGTGTGGGTGTGGGTGTCAGTGTGGGTGGAATGTGTGAGTGTAGAAGACAATAAATGTGGAAACCTCGGATTTAAATCCGAAAGTTATGTGTACTTCAAAAAGTGAATGAGACAAATCGGTCATCCTAGAATGTGCGGATATAAAAATTAGCCTGGCAAATCCTTTCTATAAACATTTGAATTCTATTGGCTACTACTCAACCAATAGGATTTCGGAGTGAACACAGCTCAGATTTGGACTCTTCGCCTTGAGTTATCCTAAAAAACTCGTTTTTCCTATAATTTGGTTTCTATTGGTCAGTGCTCAACCAATGGGGCTTCGAGTGAAGTGGATTACAGATTCGAGTTCTTCATCCTAGAAAACCTCGAAGTATTATCTCTGTGATCGGAAGATAGAGCTCGAATTGTGGATCGATTAGAGCGCAGACAAAAACAGAACCGATTTCCGTTTGTTTATCTCTGCAATAGGTGAGCTAGCCTTCTTGTTTCTTTATGTTTTATATACCATTTTGTAGCTCGTGAAATTCTCTATCGAATGGTGTATAATAGTTGGGGTTTTATTTGGCTATGGTAGGGAAAGTGTTTTACGAAAGTGGGGATGGGTCGATTTTCCTATAGAAAGCCATAGGGACAAAATGAGTATTTTTGGCAATAACTCAGGAACGGCTCGGCAAATTCTTCTCATCTTCGAACTCGACCGAGATATTGTTGAGACTGAACTGTGTAGAAAATTTCATTGCGATCGGACTCTCCTTTCAAAAGTTATCGTGTTAACGGCCGGCCTGACGGGCGGACGGACGGACACACTGACCGATTCTAGAGTGTACTCACTTTTTGAGTACACAAAAAGTGAAGATAATTGAGTCCTCATAATATAGGACTCAAGGACCTAAGAGCACCCTCACAATATAGGACTTGAGGACATAAGGGTACCCATATAATATAGAACTTGAGGTCCTAAAGATACCCCTATAATATAGAACTTCAGAACCTAAGGGTACCCTTATAATATAAGACTTGAGGACGTAAGGATACCTCCTTAATATAGGACTTCAGGGCCTAAGGGCACCCTCACAATATAGGACTTGAGGACTTAAAGGCACTCCTATAATATAGGACTCGAGGACCTAATGGTACCCTTATAATACAGAGACTTGAGGACATAACGATACCCCCCAAATATAGGACCTAAAGACGTAAAGGTACTTAAACACGCCCCCCTTCCTCGGAATAGGTCAATATTGGTATAGGAAAAAGTGAATGAAACAGATGAGTCACCCTAGAATGTGTGGACATCAAAATTGTCCTGGCAAACCCTTCCTGTAAACACTTAATTTCTATTGGCTATTGCTTAGCCAATACGCTTTGGAGGCAAATACAGCTCAAATTTGAACTCTTCACCTTGATTTACCCTAAGAAACTCGTTTTTCCTATAACTTGATTTCTATTGGTCACTGTTCAACCAATGGGATTTCGAGGCGAATGGAACATAGATTCGAGTTCTCCATTCTAGAAAACCTCGAAGTATTATCTCTGTGATCGGAAGATAGAGCTCGAATTGTGGATCACATAGAGCGTGGACAAAAACAGAACAGAATTCAGATTAATTATCTTTGCAATAGGCGTGTTAGCTTTCTTGTTTCTTTATGTTTTATATACCATTTTGTAGCTCGTGAAATTCTCTATCGAATGGTATAAAATAGTTGGGGGTTTATATGACTATGATAGGAAAAGTTTTTTATGAAAACAGAGAAGGGTCTATCTTCTCATAGGAAAAAATGACTATTTTTGCAATAACTCAGCAATGGCTCGGCCAATCATTCTCATCTTCGAACTCGACCGAGATATTGTAAAGACTAAACTGTGTAGAAAATTTCATCGCGATCGGACTCTCCTTTCAAAAGTTATCGTGTTAACGGCCGGACGGACACACTGACCGATTCTACAGTGTACTCACTTTTTGAGTACACAAAAAGCTCATTTATTAAAATAGAATTTTTTTTCTATGTATTTTACATAGACTGTTCTTATTAGGAACATTTTTTTGCTGGTTGTTGGTATTAGGAACAGTGTTCCTAATAAGAACAGGCGATGAATTTTTAAAAATGTAATAACTCAGTTATTACAAATGGGAAAAATCTGAACCTTTGGATTTAATGGTATCGATTGATGAAGAACATGTTTTTGTTAAAGAAGTATATCGAAATTTTTTATTCTTAGAATAAAAAAGTCGATTTACTAAAAAAATTTCAATTTCTATGTATTTTACATAGAATGTTCTTATTAGGAACATTTTTTGGCTTGTTGTTCTTATTAAGAACAGAGCTCCTAATAAGAACAAATTCAATTACTCGCAAACTACCGCTAATTACTTAATTATTTTTCAATATAATTAGCTAATTTTTACATCATTCGATGCAGCAGACATTTCTGCACTCAAGTATGTAAAAATTATTTTTTTATGATGAGAAATGACTTAGTAAACAAGGAGTTACTCACACTTCCGAAAAACTTGTTCTCATTAGGAACATTGACTGTATGCGCTACATTTCAAAAAACTTACATTCTAAATTAATGTAAAATCACTGTTTCTGTCCTCGCCTGCATGTAAATCATCATCTAGAAGAAAGGAAAAACGAATTTGTTGGAATTTTTGAACTTTATCAATCGTGCAGCCTTAAAAAAATTTTCGAATCCTCTCTATCTGCTAGATCAGATGGCGCATACAATTAGCAATTGCATTTCTCTCATACACTTATTCTTTCCTTACACATAGTTTGCGCTTTACTTTTCAGAATAAAAATGGTCGCTATAGGTCGCCCAAAAACTGATTTTAGTAAACAAAAAATAGTTTTTATGGCCTACTTGACATGTTCTACAACCCGGACAGATCAGAAAAAACTTTTTGAAGAAAAAATATTTCCACTATGGACAACTGGTTTCTCAAAAACGTAACATCTGAAGATCTATAGGCAACTGTCATGGACATATCCAGAATCAGCAGAGTCGATAACCTATGACCTACTAGATCTCATTATAAAAACGATTTGACAGTTGAATCGGTTCCGAGGTCAGTTTTATTGAACCTTATGAGTTCATATGAATCTATGTGCTCAATCTTACAGAAAAATACTTTTGACAAATAATGCAAAATCAGAGAACTCGCTGAGGAGCACTTTTTTTCTTACTGCTGCAGATTATCAATGGGGTGAGAATAAAACCATACTCACATTGTCGTGCTGGAATGAACATCGATTGTGAACTTCTTGCTGATGCTTCAGTTGTTTGCGTTGGCTTTTTCTCGAGTGGTGCCAAGCAAATGCCTCGTTGCCTCAAAGCGGATGTTGTGTAAGGTATTTGCTTTCCTTTTGTATCATTGAACACTCCATTGGTCACATCTATAAGCATCAAAGTAATATCCTCTCCTGGTCGAGTGATGTTTTGCAGTAGATGATACGTAAACATTCCATTGCGTCCGTTCGGTGCTGTATCGGCGGCTATTGTACCAGGAGCGCAAGCAAAAGCAATCAACATACCAGCCTTCGCAGGCATCGCCGCCATCCCCGTTGATGATAAGCTCAATGATTTAGATTTGGGCACATTTGGCAGACGATAAGTGCGGCAGCAGTCAAGTAAGTACACAATTAAAAAAGGATCATTTTCGAACATTAGCTCGAGAGATCTTTGTGCATTGGTCGTCCGATACTTCAAATCACTTAGAGCTTGAATTCGATCGTCATCGCATGGGATTAAATAGTTTTGTTCTTCACGTTGAATACCATGACCAGAGAAAAAGAACAGGACGAGATCACCTGGCCGAATAGACCTGGCAAAATCTTCAATTCCTTTTTCCATCTCTTCGTGGTTGAGATCCGTTTTGGTGGTCACCGAGAATCCGATAGTTTTGAGTGCTTTGCTCAAATCTTTTGCATCGTTAGCACAGTTGTCCAATGGCGATTGATTGTAATTGCTGTTTCCAATAACCAAAGCTATTTTCCGTTGTTCGGTGCTAACTGAAGCCATAGCGCACAAATTGCTTGTCTTGAATGTGTTTTATCTACAAATACTTAGGCTATACCAAAAGTTCTGATCACAGTTTTTAAAATTTAATAAAGCAATA